CAGCCCGCCACCGCCAAGCCGCTCCTGTGGCAAATTATACATTAAAGCACTGAAAGATCTAGATTTAGGACTTACGCATTATATATCGTACAATCTGTTCTGAGTTACACAATGGCGATTATCTCCAATTTGAACGATTTATTTTACGATTGTAAGTTCGTTAATAACTTGACGTTAACAATTATACGAACAAGAAAAGAATATTTCGTAGTACTATCTCCATAGTATTTGAAGTTTTATAACTAAAATTTGTCCAAAAAAATCTCATTCTCCATCACTTTCTAGGTCTACCTCTACCGGTGTACCACACTCTTAACTAACGTCCTTCTTGTAACATGCGATTCATCCCTCATTACATGCCCATACCACGCTAACCTTTTACTCCTCAATTTCTCAACCACTGGGGCTATTCTCAAACTTCTTTTACAAAAAAATCTATTAAACCAAATAACATTTCTAATAAAAGAAATCAAATTAAAATCACCATAGATTCTAATTCGGAGTTCGCGTGCCATCCATAATAGAACATTACAGTATGTTTCGCATTTACATAGGTTAATTAACCTCAGAGCGTACGCTCTCTTTTATTACATACTCGTTAACCGTATCTTAATTTGTTATAATACAATGGTGTAATTTGTATGGGGAAATTGACTTTTTTATATCGGATAACTATCAGACGTTGACTTTGTAATGAGTTGATCACTGCTAGAGACTAATTAGGCACGTGTTAGATTTAGGGCTGCCCACTTAAAAAAATGAATACTGGCTGACAATAAAAAAAAATACTGGCTGGCAATAAAAAATATAAATTTGTAACTCCTTGGTGGATAAAATCGAAGACTAAACTAGTGTTTTGTTTCACTCTGAACCGAAAACATCGATGTTACACGTGTGCATAATAATTCAAGTTAAAATTGAAGTGACAGCCCTAGTTGGAATAGTTGATCAATCTTTTGGAACTCGATGATTGTTCTTCGTCTATTCGATTTAAATAATGCTTTTTCTATGATTGGCATTCTTTAAAAAGTTCACACTGGCTGGTTTTATTAAACAAGATTTAGGTCATAATTCTATGAGGTTGTTATATATCTTTTAGTATTTAACCAATAGTCGTGTATATTTTTGATCGACTTCCCAAAGGAGGTACTCAATTCGTCTGTATGTTTTTTTTATTTATGTTTTAATTTCGTTGACGAAATTTATATTCTGTGAAATCATCTGACACACCCTGATTACAAAAGTTTATAAGTGGACTAGTTAAGATTAATCACCCGTTGATCGGTCACTCTAATTTGTGTAATAATTTATCCGAAATTAATGTGTACATGTTACATCAATTAATCGATCGTCCCCAATCAATGTATCGAATGGAACCTGCTGTAATGTAGATCAATTGCTAAACTAACGATTATATCGAGTTACCGAGTTGACGAATAATCGATTACACCGGATGCTTGGAAAATTATAACCTAGCCGAATTTAATGTAGGTGAGTGATGTTACTACCGTTGTGCTTGCGTATAATTTAGCATTATAAATAAAAAATATAACAAGCTGTTATTTATTGCAAATAAAGTGGCATGTTGAAGAAAATGAAATGAATTTGACTTATGCTGGGTTTCTGAAATGTATTAATACGTAGTTATTCGTTAGTATTAAGCTGACATATGTTTCAATGGAGTAAAACTCAAATTACGTAGTTCGGGAACTCATTTCATTATCAAACTAAAAACACTATTAAACGGTTAAATGTAGTTTGAAAATCGGCCATGAATACTGTTTTACGATTCAAAATAACATAACAACTAAAATGTTTTAAGAACTAGCAATCTGCCTCAGATTCTATAATCACGTTGGAACTATTACGAGATGATTTTTAATTGTATTAATATAATTAACTTAAACAGAGAGCTATTGATCCCGCCGTAATGGCGCGCTATTCTACGTCTGAAAGACATTGACATTGACATCGGGCAGATAGTGATGGGACGATGCCAATCTAGTGTTGCACCATCCTCTAGCGCAGTACTGATTTTCTTTTTAACAGTACATGGCGGGATTCGAACCTAGGGTTTGTAGACAAGTCATCTATGGTTCTGTTATCTAAAATTCCTTAATTTGTCATTTAGGCACACCTAGCATACTTTACAATGTCCGCATTTCTCAGTATTAATCTTACCGATAGCTAACTTTCACCAACAAATGTTTTTTGGAGACATTGTGATTTTTACATTGAATTAGTAACTTGATTGTTATTACTAGGATACTTTTGATAGTACCGGTGTTAGTGTAGGGCAAGATGGGGCAGTCCGGGGACCTTGACCCCGGGAAGAAGGGTCCGCTAACGCGGACGACGCTGGCTGAGTCGCGGAAGATTGCGCAAGCGTCCCCGTGACCCAGACACTGGCGGATAAAAGGAACACCGCTGGGTTTTTAGTGGGTATTCCGGCCATTTTCCATCTTCTTGGCCGGCGAGTCCCACATACCCCCCTGATAACGGGGGGGATGCGTAAATGCATTTTCCCAGCGAGAAAAAAAAGGGCAAGATGGGGCGCCAAGGGCGTAGAAGTTTATAGGTGTGAAGGGTAGTCTGGAAGACATAGGCTACTCACTTTTGTTTTTTTTTTAATTCAACGGACGGAGTCGCGGGCGAAAACTAGTTCTTTATAAATTATTGTACAACGGTATTATATCGTTTCATCAATCAAATCATGATTGTACTATGAATGGAGTTTTATCCGCTTTATATATAGAAATTGATCGATATAAGAATCTCATTAAAATTCAAAACGGATTGTTAGTTTGTAACACATCACACACTACTTATGCACATGTGTAGTTTATATATTAATTTTGTTGATTAACTTGACTAGATCTTGCCTCTGTATACGAAAAAAACTTAAAAGCATACATTATAGGTTATTTCAGACTATATTCTACATCTGTGACAAATATCATCGAGATCCGATGCGCCGTTTAGGAGTTGCCTCTTATCCAAACATCCAAAAATGTTAAGTAAAATTTAATAACAAATTAACCTAAAAAAAAAATCAGCCTTCAATATAGACCATCATATGTGATATTAATGTAATCTTGTATGTCTACCACATCTTACTAATATTATAAACGCGAAAATTTAGATAGATGGATGTTTGTTAGAGTTTGTAACCTAAACTGCTAATAGGATCTTGATGAAATTTGGCATAGATAAAAATATAGTCTGGAAGAAGACATAGGGTACTTACTTTTGTTTTTTTATACCAAGCGTACGGAGTCGCGGCTTAAAGCTAGTTCAATAATGAGACAAACGAATAAACAAACCGAAATCATGACAGATTAAATTCCATTTGCAATTTTAATTTTAAATTATTGCCATTACCGAAATATTTTTAAATTAACATGTTGTTGTCCTTATCATTTTCTGATAATTAAATAAAGACAGCATGTTCAAATAAGTATGTATGTAACTTTATTTTTGCGAAACATTTTATTGTCAACTTCTAATAATCTAAACTAATCTATGAAAATGTGTTACTCATTATAATAAATTACCACATAGATATAAAAAATATGAGTTATTTACCTGGACCTCTATCACACTGGATAAATCCACGTACGCCACCGCCAGTTTTTCGGTCACAACTTACACGAAATAAAATATAACCTAACTTTTTTAAAAATACCCCAATATTTTTTCTAACACATTACTTTTACAATCGATTATTGTAACGAACGATTAAAAATATCGATGACACTGGGACACGTTACTTTAGTGAAGTGAAAGTAAATGAAAAAAACCGTACATGTAAATCGAATCCGGAATATCGGACAATTACCGGTCCCTTGAGAGGCGGACGGCTCCCGTCGCGTTCGGTTACTGATTGCTTTTTAAATTGCTACTTTAAACTCCGAAAGCCTACCATTAATTATTTTGTAACAAATTGTATTATAACGTTTTACAAGTGTTATTAATCTTTATATAATTCAATTAATATTTTTAATTGTTACTATTCCGTGGAATGTAGGCACAAGCCAATATCTACATTAATCTATGATATTAACAGCGTATAGGTTAATTAACATGGTATATTATTATGCAAATATACGTAATCGATTATTCACGGTTAATGAAAACGGTTATTTTGAACTCAAAAATAATTAAACTATCGATAGATGTACATTTTACTATCGATAATTTTTATTAGAATTCAGATTTACTTTATTGTGCAATAAACTAACTCAATTAAAGATTTTTAAAACTTTATCAAATTTCTAATTTTTTTGACAAGAGTTTTCTTTTAAATCTATTTATTTATTAATTAACTGTATCACAATAATTTTGGTTAAAATAACAATTAAATTCAATGTCGTAAACGAAAATCACTTCACAATAATATAAGGAAATTAAGGTTTACGGTAATAGACTGTCAATTTACGATTCGCGTTAATCGTAACTAGTGATGTGACTTGATAGATCGGTGTCGACACACGCGCGCGTTGACGTCTCACGGCAAACTGCCGGAGGGCGGTTCAACCGCCCTCGGGGACATTCGCTCTCAGATTCACTAATGCGCGACCCTCTATCACGTACTCAAAGTGCGAATCTTAATAAGAAAGTACATTTTTTTAATCACAAAATATTTAAGGTAAATGTGCAGCCAAAACTTTTTTAAGAATTGTACGAACAGTTTTATACTGTAAAAAAAATTTGAAACGTCTTTTTGTTGATAAATTAGGATATTTGTCATGGTTTTTTAATCTTTGTTTGTCCTCAATTTTCTAATGTTTATCTTATCTGCTTTTGTTAAATCTTTTTAGAAATGAAACAAAAATATATTCACGGTCTGTGAGAATCTATTGACACCTATGACCGTTTCGATTAAATTTTATCTTGAACATCGTTTTGTCCTACATTTAGAAAGTACGTCCTTTTAACCATGGAATTCTCTTTTCGGACAATTTCTATTAAATTCTAGCCTATAGGTGGTTATTCTGTTTATATTTTCAGTAAAACATTTCGAC